AGCAGCAGCAGCTGACATGTCCAATGGCGAATCTTTGCCTGCATTTAACCCACCCCACAAGGTGGAGGTCCCTAGACACCCGAAGCATCTCGTCGCGAAAGACGTCGCCGTTGTCTGCAGCAAAACCAAACAACTAGCTGCTGCTGCTGCTGCTGCTGCTGCTGCTAGTGGTAGTAGTAGTAGTGCTGTGTGCTGCTACGGAAGAAGCATTGCAGATGCGGCAGCAACACGCGCTGAAGCAGCAGCATCCGCAGCACCGGCATCACCGTAGCCAGCAGCAGCAGCAGCAGCAGCAGCCGCAGCAGCAGCAACAGCAGCAGCAGCAGCAGCAGCATTACGGGGAAAGTGGCCGAGGACTTGGAAGCGGAAGCGGCCAAAAACCTCTCCGAAAGAATTCGGAGAAAAGTCGCGGCGGGGGGGCGGCAGCTTTTGGGGGGGAGGTTGGTACTTTCGAAACCCTGTCACCTGCAAACCCTAAACCCTAAACCCTAAACCCTAAACCCCAAACCCTAAACCCTAGACGCTAGACGCTGCAGCCTGCGGCGCCGCGCCGGGCGCGCCTCGAAGGCGCAGCAGCAGGCCCCAGCGCTGCGGGCTGCAGGCGGGCCCTGAAGCCTCGGGTTTAGGGTTTAGGGTCTAGGGTTTAGGGTTTACGATTGTGTTGAGGGTGTCGAACTGCTGGTTGAGCTGCGGCAAACCCTTTTTCAGCGGAACAGCAGCAGCAGGAGGGTCCAGCAGCGAGGGTTTGGGCCTGCGGCGAGGGTTTGGGGGCCCTAGGGTTTCGCCAATGGAGTATAAGGAGCGCATTTTGCTGCTGCGCGGCAGCGGGAAACCCTTGGAAAACGGGGCCATTTCGAGGGGTTAGGGTTTACTGCAGCGAGGGTTTAGGGTTTAGGGTTTAGGGTTTAGGGTTTAGCTTTCTGCGGCTAAGGCCCCACTCGGGATAGTACTGACACACCCGCAGCAAAAGACGCAGAGCAAGAAAGATGATTAGGACACACTTCCCAAACCCTAAACCCTAAACCCTAAACCCTAAACCCTAAACCCTAAACCGCAGGCTCCTCTGGCGGGGGAAAACAAGAATTAGGCAAGAAAAAGAAACAAAATGGAAAGTGTTCTTTACATTTCTTTTTAGTTGCGTGCATGCAGCCCCAGCTCTACATATACTGCATTGAACCTGTCGGCTGTCACTGCAGCTCCAGCGCTCGTCGGAGGAATTAGAAAGCGTCAAATTAATTCATTTTCGGATATTTTATAATTATTCTATTTATTTTATTTCCTTATTTGCCGCTTTATCGGTTTAGACGCGCAGCAGCTGGCTGGACCTAGGCGCCGCTGGCTGCTGGCTGGCTTGGGGTGTACAGGCAGCTCTTGTTGCTTCGCTTCTGCGGCTTCCGCCTCCTTTTGTCAATTCTTTTCTTCTTTTTGCAATTATTAAATTCAACTCTAGCTCGTTGCTGCCACTTAATTCGCCTGCTAAGGACTAGGCACCTGACTTCTGCTGCTGTTGCTACTCCACCGCGCTGCTGCAGCACTCAAGTCCGCCTCCGCAGCGACTGCCACCGCTTTCGAGGCCTGACAGCAGCAGCAGCAGCAGCTACTGCAGCAGCAACTGCAACAGCTGCTGCAGCAAAGCCTGCAGCAGCAGCAGCTGCTGCTGCTGCTGCGCGCTGAGCTGTTCGCGCTGCAGCCAGAGCTGCTCCCACGCATAGGAATCAAAAGCCGGTGCAGTTCGCCTCCCTCCCTTCCCAGTAGCACTAGTAGCAGAAGCAGCAGCAGCAGCAGCAGCAGCAGCAAGTTGCTGCTCTGTTTCCGGCATAGGGTCAGCTGCACGGGTCCACTGTGCCCGTCTTTCTGCCGGCTTTTCCCTGAAAAGCAGCAGCAGCTGCAGCAGCAGCATCTGCAGCAGCGGTCTTCCTCGCTGCGGGCCCCCCTCCCGCAGCAGCAGCAGCAGCAGCAGCAGCAGCAGCAGGATGTCGTCTCTGGCTGCGGTTCGGGCGGACGGGTACTACCGGCCTCCGGACGGCGAGGTGTCTGTACACCGGAGGCGGCGGGGCGAGCAGCAGCAGCAGCAGCAGCAGCAAATAATTCGATTTGAACTGCCATTTAAAGTATTTTGTTTGTCTTGTGCTGCAGTGCTAGACAGGGGAGTTCGCTTTAACGCAAAGAAGCAGCAAATTGGCTTTTATCTTTCTTCTCCTGTCTACTCTTTTTGCTTCCGCTGCCCCTGCTGCAGCAGCAGCTGCTGCATCACCACAGACCCGAAGAGCAGCAGCTACATCTGCAGCAGCGGCTTGCGGCAGAAGCAAGAAGACGTGCCCGATGCTGCAGCAGGCAACCCGCTGCTGCTGCTGCAGCAGCAGCAGCAGACCCTGCAGGCCAACCCCCTGCTGCAGAAGGAGCACCAGTTTCTCCTCCGCAGGCAAAGGGGGCTGCTGCTGCAGCAGCAGGAGCAGCAGCAGCTTGCTGCTCAGGAGACGCCGCAGCAGCAGCAGCAGCGCGAAGAAATCTGCAGCGCCAGGGAAGCCACTGCGCAGCTGCTGCAGCAGCAGCAGCAGCAGGCAGACGACTACGCAGCAAACCGACGCATGCGGCAGCAGCTGCGCGAGCGCAAGACAGCAGCAGCAGCAGCAGCAACAGCAGCAGCAGCAGCAGCAGAAACAGACTCCGGAGAAGATGCTGAAGAACTCAGCGGAATTAAATTCAAAAAAAGAAAAACCAGAATTGATAAGTTGGCGCAGCAGCTAGCGAAGCGCCACGCCTCCATATTCCCGTGCAGCAGCCGCAGCAGCCGCAGCAGCTGCAGCAGCAGCAGCAGCAGCAGCAGCAGAGCCTTCTCCCTAGTTTGCAAATCCGACGCCGTCGCAGCGCGCCTCGCGCAGGCCCTGCATGCAGCCCCAAAGGGCAGCAGCAGCAGCAGGAACAAAAGCAAGAGCAGCAGCAGCAGCAGCAGCAGCAGCAGCAGCAGCAGCAGCAGCAAGAGCAGCTTTAGACGGCTGTGCAGCAGCAACGCGGCAGTCGTATGACCAGCTGCGAGCTTTGGGTGTACAGACAGCGCAGCAGCAACGGGTTGTACGTACACCCCAACCGAAAGGGCCCAGCAGCAGCAGCAACGCATGCACTTTCTTTTTTTTGAAGAACGCGGTCTCCGCACATAGCCTAGGGTTTAGGGTTTAGGGTTTAGGGTTTAGGGTCTAGGGTTTAGGGTTTGAGGTGCAGC